TTACTGTCCCTCACAACACCACTTTAACCCGGGCAGGAAGGAATACTGAGTCGACTCCTTTTTTTTTTTTTTTTGTAGAAGCCTTTTAATGGAAAACCGTCTGGGTGACCTTGATAGTAATCTGAACTGTATTGGAGAACTCTCGAGTATTTCCTTCGTTTATCGATCTTCTTATGGGTCATGGTTATGCACACACACACACCTGACTGTCTGGCACGGAAGCAGCCTGGGAGTCAACAGAAAACAATAACAATGAATAAAAATGGTGCATAAACAGTGAAATGGTTGGTGGAAACTCTGCGTTATTTCGGTCAGTGTTTACAATGTAGGTCCAGAGGTGCGATACCCGTGAGAACCACACCACCAATGAGGTAGGCCTACAACCACGTGTTTCCTCTCCAACACCACCAGTGAGGGAGGCCTACACGTGTTTCCTCTCCAACACCACCAGTGAGGGAGGCCTACAACCACGTGTTTTCTCTACAACACCAAATTATCAACAACTCCTATATATAACACCATGTTAACTCTTCGTCTCATTTTTGTGATGACGATTTTTGTTAAACATCTACTCCCTAATGTCACTGAACTGGCCTTAACCGTTGATTCTTGCTGGGTTAATGGGCTAAGACATGTAAAAGTATATAAGGTTTTAGTGCAAACCCAACTGTCTTTTCTGTATTAAGAAAATATATTATATACAGTTCCAAGTGTATATCACCGTAACTTAATCACTGTAGCTATGAGTGTTAAGAGGAGGACGGAGGCTATGGCCCTGTTAAGTACGTCCTGTCTATGATGAGATAGCTGAGTGAGAATGAGTAGGAACCCATCGAGGGAGAACGGAAATATATCCGAGGGAAGACGGAACCATCCACGATTGCTCTCAATAACGTCTTCCTCTAGGGAGTGATATCAAAACTGCTGTCCGCAAGAGGTGGCCAGAGAGCCGGTTACTTAATGCTTAACTCAGCACCAAGTGACGCAACTTCCCGTGGCCACACCTTAACACGTGCTGTGAACGCTACCTCATAGCTAGTGGAAAGTTACAGGGGATGATAGTTATACAAGTCTAATGTAATTAACCCATTTATATAAATGCTTCTACCTAGAAGACAGGAGCTAATATATCACTATACCTAGAACTGAATGAAAAATTTTGGAGGTACTACTGAGGGAGGAGAGTTATTCAGTAGTGACCATGACAACACACACACACACACACACATACAACAAGTGAGTGTGAATGTGTGTGAGCTGAATGTGAGTGCGTGCGAGTGGTAGTGTATGTGAGCGTGTATGAGTGTGCAAATGTGAGTATATGCGAGCGGAGTGTGAAGTGTGTGTGTGTGTGTGTGTGTGCGAATGTGTGTGTGTGTGTGTGGAATGTGTGTGAGTTTGTGTGTGTGTGTGTGTGTCACGGCCACTAATGAATAACTCCGTCAGCAATGCCTGAACTCATAGGCTCATTAATCAGACTTATGCCGCCTCTGGCTGACAGTTGAGGATGTCATTTAGTATAACTCAATTGTGAAGTCACATTCAAGAAGACCATTCATTAAATTGTGCAAAGTGAATCAGGAATCAAAGAAATACTAATTCATAATAATCAATAGCATAAATAATAGCATTGCATAGTCCTGTGACCCAAGTAGTTGAGTAATTTATCTTTTTAATCCCATAATATACTGTAGCTCTTCCCCATTCACAAAAGAATCACACCATCATTCACTCTTAACACTCATGGACAAATCAATGCCAAAACATAAGATGTATAATGGACGGAATACGATTACTGTTTTACTTTCCTGATCACACAGTTGTTTCTGAGCTCTCTTCCCTCCAGGGTAATAGAGTCCATTATTTTTTACATTGAATGTGAGTTATATTATTTCTATAATTTTATATTGAATATATAATATTGTACTTATAGTTTGTTATGAATATTTAGATGTACTGTTTGTTTACATTTCTGAGACCGAAATGTAAACAAACAGTACATCTTTTATAATTAGAATATTCATAACTTAAAATATCTTTATATAAGTACATAATATTATATGATTACAATAATATTAGAAATTATATAGAAATAATATAACTCACATTCAATGTAAAAAATAAATAAATTATTACAAAGGATATGCAGCTTTCATATTTGCTTCCTTCATAGAAAACCTCTCTTGGTGACTGACCCCAAATGAGTCTACAGCATACATCTTAATATTATGTAAATATATAGACATATGTAACATTGTGTGTGTAAGTGTGTGAGTGCTTGAACATATGTGCGTGTGGACACATTCACTCCAGTGTTCAGTAGTTGTTTTTTTCTAACCATCCACTGACCAAGAGTATGTTAAGAGTCTGTGGTATCGACCCAAACAGTGCCGTGGTGCCTGCTGGTCTGTAAAGATGCCAGGATGATTTGTTATTATTGGCACTCCACCGTCCACTGCTGCTGATAGTGCTGCTGCTGCTGTGGACATGCTGCACTTAATATTTAAACTGCTGTTCATTGCCGTTGTTATTGTTATTGCTAATTAAACTGATACTGAGTTTTGGGGATGTCTACAGCTGTCTTTTTACTGATAATACTGATGCTGATAGCTAGTTGTCACAGCCACTACTGAATAAGCCTTCTCTTTCAGCAGTGCTCCAACTCCTATGCCCATTAATCAGACTCATGTTCGCAAATAACAGCTTTGGTTAACAGACCAGAACCATGTAGACAAACCTTTGCTACCTCCAGCTGACAGTTGAAAATACGTCCGAAATTATCCATTAAATCTCGTCATCAGTTCAAAGTAATACCAGCTTATAACAATTAATATATATTGTATTAACGTAAAACAAAATAAAGAGTTAATACTACATGGTCTTGTGACCCAACTGATTTAGTAATTTATATATCTAATCTCATAATATGGCTCTTCCTCCATTCACAAGAGTATCACTTAGTATTTAGCCCAAATGCTGGTGATTAAATTAATGCCAAAATGTAGGATACACTGTGGTGAAACAAGATTACAATCACTTTCCTGGACTCACATCCACACCCTATATTCATCCATGGAGGAAGGCAGTTCCTAAACATAAACAAACAATACCTCTTTACAATTAGAATATTAACTCAAAACTTCTTCATATACGTACATAATATTATATGATTACAAAATATTAGAAATTACATTGAACCAATATAATTCACATTCAATACCAAAAATAAACTAATTATTACAAAGGACATACATCTATTATATCTCATTTCCTTTCATAGAAAACTGCTCTTGCAACAGTGACTGATACAAAAAGAATATACAGCACACATCTTAATATTATGTAAATACATAGACATATGTTACACTGTGTTGCTGGTCCTGTAGACGGTCTCGTCTTATTGCTGTTGTTGATGGCATTGTTTTTGAGTGTTGTTGCAACTAATCAATTACCCAGCAACACAATGCGAACCTTTGAAGCTACAATCTATTTATTTTGTCCAACAGCAGGAAGTTTCTGTGACAATTAAAGGCTACTGTAGCTCTCTCTTTCTAATTAGTAACATTTGGATAATCTCGTATGTAATTTACGTAGAAACAGTTTATCTGGATTCCCTCCTCTGATTATTCTGACTTGGCCTGGGTCCATCTTGTGAATTCAGGCCTTGAAGTACATCTTTAAAGTTGACAAACGTGCTAATTACTTATTCTATTTTATACTTACTAAAACTGAATACAATTTTAGAAAATGACAGTTCTCCATCTGAATCGGCACATTCGTTTGTGACGATATTACTGACCATTTTCAGGGCAGGATAGGTGTATTGTACGTACTTTACTTAAAGAGACCTCCTAGTGTAGGGCCGAAAGCGAACAAAATTCTAAAGAATATCGCCACACTGAAAAAGATATACTGGTTGTGTGAAGAGAAGTTTGTTAGGCTATAAAGATATTAGTGATGTATCCAGAATAAAGGCACCATATGAATAATGTTACTGCTGTGGAAAGGACTGCATCTGCAAATAACTCTCCACCTATACTGTGTTTATTATAATTATGAATAAACTATATATACTGGACGTGAAGGTTACACTCAGTCAGGTGTTCACTAGTAGACCTCTCCAACACAACGTTCGGTGTCTCCAGTGACTCATGAATCTAGTTCGTGTAATTTCTGTCTTAAAAAATACAAAAACAAAAACATTTACAGTGAATCAAATACATTACACTGTAGTTATAAAAATATATCGCGATGGCAGCTGTATACTCCCTGTATTTTGTTTTACTAATTTCTTACTCAGATTCTAAATAGTAATCAATAAAGATCTAGTCTGATTGTACATGGTTAAATTTATTCTTCACTTACGCAAATAAATATACCAAAAGAACTTAGTAATGTTCATCTTATCAGCTTGACATACATTAGCCACTTGTGACGTAGACTAGAAATTATACTCATTATTATTGATACACAAGATAATCCACAGCACAAGTCAATGTCAGTTGGGGGTCGGACAAAACCCCACGGACAAAAAGCGCAAAGCCATGGACAAAACCCCCTCAGTTAAAGTGCAAAGCAGGACAAAACCCCTTCAGTTAAAGGTGTAAAATGGGTTAGGTTAGATATGGTTCATAAACTGTAAACTGTAAATAATAAATAATAAAAATGATACAAAATTCTTATTATTATTTGTTATGGCCTTGTCCTCGGGGGGCTTTGTCCTTGGGGCTGTCCGGGGCTTTGTCCGGGGCTTTTGTCCTTGGGGGTTCTTGACCTTGGGGGCTTTTGTTCTAGGGGACTTGTGTCCTACACTCGAGTCAGTTACATACTTGATATACGATTCACTAAAGCTAATTAGCCTGAACACAACCTGATACAGGAACTATAATACACACCAATACAGATTATATACTGCACTCCAGTTTCTAATTTACACATTGTCTAATATTGGCACCAACTACAATTTCAAGTTACTAAACATCAATTGCTCTCGTCCACAGCAACAGAAGTTAGCTAAGTCCAGCACCTCGTCCCCGCCCAAGAAATCGAAGGCCCCGGAAACCAGCGATGAGGTGTACCATCCCGCCCACAACTCTGTCGTCTTCAATCTCAAGAACCAGATCGGAGGTCTCGCCAAGGCTCTCCAAGTTTTCCAGGTACTGTACGTTTAGGAAGACACTCTAAGAGATATTCAGGTACAGTTTGTTTCAGCATCTAGGCACCCATATGCAATGGGTTATGTTATGCTTTCAGTAAATTCTCTTTTGGGTAGCTACTGTACTATTAGAATACAGTATATCTGTATTTTTATCAAATGTTATGAAATATGTAATTTCTACTTCTTGAGGAGAAAGAAAAAGGAAATAGAGAAAATCAGAAATATAGAGAATCTTGGATTCCAATGAAGGTGGTGACGGTTTAAGTAAAAATGTGCATTTGGTTGGTGTTGTGTCTAAAGTTTCACACCGATCGTGTTTATCAAAATGATGATCTCCAGTAAACACATTACTTCACCTGTGTATGACGTGACAATGTTTATTACGTTAACGTCTATGTACTGTAAACATATCACCTTGTGACCCCAGGACCGCGGCATCAATGTGGTGCACATCGAGAGTCGTAAGTCTCGTCGTCGCAACTCAGAGTACGAGATTATGGTGGACATCGAGTGTGACAACTCCAAGATGGACGATCTGACAACTCCTCCAACGAAAGATGTCTTGTCTCAGCCTCCACGACTACGACAAGGGCGAGAATTTCCCCCCACCCACTCCCATGAGTCAGGAGAGCTTCGGTGAGTGATTCCACGAGTCATGAAGAATCAGATGATCAGGAGACCTTTGAGGATTTGTTACTAAAAGTCAATAAAGCTTTAGTAAGTATAGATTTAGATCAAATTGGGTGAGTATGATGGTCAAAATGATCAAAGAAAAAATCGCTGAGTCAAGCATATGATTTTTTTGTGTGTATGATGTAATAGGATGGCAGCTTAGTTTGTAAATGTTTTCTCTTTCCTGACGAATTCGAAGGTTGATTCTCTTTTTATCATAGAACATACATTAGCACTTCTGAGCATACATTATATTTTTGTTGATTGTTGATTTTATGAACTTTGGAAAAATGGGAAGTCTTCATATGTGTCTTAGTTTGTAAAGTAGAAAATCTGAAGAAATACTTCTTACTCGTGTGACAGCTCACAGGTAACTGAGACACAAGTTGGAACTTGTGTTTCCACGTGGCGAGGACCCACCGGCTCCCATCGACAGGATTTTTACCTGTAGACTTCGGTGGTCGGTCTTCTCTACCCCCCACCCCACACCTTGGCTGTTGCATATAGCCTGGTGTACTTGAAGTCTTGAAGCTCCGGCCGAAATAGCCTAAAGGCGAAGTGGCCAGTAATCCCCAAAACAAGTTCAAGTCTTGAACAGTTTGTGAGTAAAGCTGCACCTAACACCTCTCCTGCTCGTGGTCTTGCTCTCTGGGTCAACGTTTGATCAGTTTAATTTGAAACATTTATTTGTTGTACTTTACTGTGTAACATTCTCAGTGAGTGTTTGTTTTGTTGTTGTTATAATGTTATTACTGCACTTTGACAACTAAGGTCTTTTAGCGCATAACAAAGGTAGTAATTACATTTTTAACATAAAAACAATCACTTTTTAATTCCCAAATTGTTACCTAGTGGATGCATTTATGTCAGTAAAACAACATATAATGTGATAATTGCATTTTGTAATGCTTGGTTTAATTTAATGTCAGAAGAAATAAATAACTGCTTAATATTTTGTCCCAAATCGTGTTTAATTATGCCTTACAAGTTCATTAAGACTACGAGCTATATTTCACCATAGTCGTCAGTGTGATGATGTTAACAAAATTACCCAGGGCAACTTGATTGATCGGTCACTAAAACGCGACCCTAACAACTTTTTAATCGAAAACTATAAAGTAAATTTCAAACGTTTAATAGATCAATACTTCCCCAGCCATCACCCACGAGATATTCAGCTCCGTATTTGTTTCTTCTCCTTCCCTAAAACGAAAGCCTCGCACAAACTATGACACTTCAATAATAATAATAATCATTGTTTCTTCTCGAGACTTCATTAACAACTAACGGTAGCTAATATGATCATGGAAACTCCTCCTTCTCTCATGAGCGAAGATAATCTCGTCCATTTCCCCTTAGTAGGTTAATTAACTACAAAAGCTACGTAAGTTAGTTGATAGTCACTCAGTCTGGATTATCGAAGGTTTGTAATTTAAACTTTTTGTCCTTAAATTATGATGTAAGAAAGTATCTAACAGGCTTCTCAGAGTAAGACATCGAGATGGAGCAAATTAGCTTCAACATTGCTGTGTGTTAACCGAAACGAGATGGGTTCACTTAACACACATCAGGAGTAAATACACAGATCAAGAGACAGTGTTTACTGGCAGTGTCGTTAACCAGGAGTGACGACACGGGCCGTTCAGGTGTCGAATGATACTTCACATATTCTGGACGTATTAGTTTTCAAATTTGACCGGATGTGTATTAAAATTGACTTCTAATACGCAAACTGTTATTTTCTTAAAAAGGGAAGACCTTATATAATAAAACTTTTAACTAAAATAGGTCATATAATTTTCTGTACAATTATGTAAGGTATATTATACACGACTATAAGATGTATTATTCACTGTTATTTGTCTGTGCCGCTGATACAGACTTCAGTGACTTGTGCCCCTGGTTCCCCCGCAAGATCAGTGACCTCGACAACTTTCAGAAGGTTCTCATGTACGGCTCAGACCTCGACGCTGACCACCCGGTAAGTTACTCATTCATCGTGTATGTTGTAACAATGAGACAAAAATCTTTATCATATGTTTTTACAATAGTAGTGATATAAATATATAGATATAACTATTAATATGGGCCAGTAGCTCCGATGCCGATGATCTGTTTGTATTGCAAAGGAACAATAAAAGTGGTTAAATTTTTACTTGGTGATGATTTTTGAGGAAATAGTAAGGGATAACATCAATTATTCGAGTGGCAGTACAAATGAATAACGTTTTAATAAGGTTATAATCAATTACTTGACAATGATCATCACTTAACACTCGGCGAGCGACGGCTGCAAATTGGCCGCATCATCTTGTTAAATTTCATGAGGGATAACAAGAGTGATCTGCTGGATTTTATGTTTAAGGTTAGATTCGGTCATAGTAAGTTAGGAACACTTAGAGCCATAATAATTGTCTAGTCTCCACCTAGATACAAGTGGTATCAATACTTTCTGCCTGTTTTAATATATCCTTTTATGGTAAAGATGTTTAGGTCACATAGACTGGAATCACCAACAATTAATGGCGATTTATTAAAAGAATATATCTTTCATTTCTGGCGGAAATGAATAGCTATGGAGATAAGACCCAACCCCGCTACTTATGATTTTGAGTGTACAAAGTGACAAGGCTTTGAAGCCGAAGGAAATTGTGAGGTAAAATTGTTAAAAAAAACTGACTAAACCAAACCTAAAGAAACCTGACCTAACTTTCATAAGCGTAGCCTTACTTGACCTTTGTCTTGGCGATTTTGCGCCTTTATCCAAACCAAAAGAATTTACCTTCACGATAATAGCATCTGTACCACACATTGGACGCGAAACACCATGAAGTTTGAGAAGGTCAATAACAGCTGCAATATTGTCCGAAACACACTGAATGGTTCCCACTCACACCGCAGAACACCTCTAACACAACAACAAAATATTGAGACTGAAGATTTCCATTTCAAATTCTTAGGCACGTACAGATCTCTCATGGCAGATCGAGGCTGACCATGTGAAGTTTACTTGATTGAGAAGTAAACATTAAAATCAGCGAAATTTACGCCAGCAAACTGAAAACCCACCAAAGATGATAAAAATAACACTAAAACTATAAATTTCTGCCCAAAACGCAATAAAGTATCCCTATATGTTTAAGCTCTGTCATCCTAAAATTAATATTGGTTCCCGTCGATGAACTCTTTCGAATCTTTGCCCCTCTGACTTTTAATACATTTTCTTTAATCTCCTTTATTGTACACACCAATTTGCATCGTTTTTTTTTTCCTTGATGGTCGTATTCGTTTAAGGTTCATCTGCAAATCGAATGTATGCAAATTGTGCTGGGTAACCTCTGACGCGTTTCTTATGCTGTTTGTTCAGTAACATTATTGGCCGTCTTAATGAAACCAGCACTTCATTCTAGTGTCATAACCACTTGCTGAAGATCTATATTATTTACCAGTCGTGTGGTTGCGTGTGGCGTCATCAATACGGGGAGGCTATTTTCTAGGTATAAACGTTCGTCACTTTAAATGGAATTCATTTTGTTGCTGAATGTTAGCGAACTTGAACACTAGCGAATTTCAACACTGGTGGATTTGAACACTTGCGAATTTGGACACTGGCGGATTTAGTAGATTTTAAGCTCGGTGATTGCTGCCTAGTTGTATCAAGAAGTTTACAGGGGTTGGATAAATCACGAGTTTACATTAATAGCTTTATTTACAATGGATATTAAGATCATTAATTTACAGCGTCTTAGACTTTTTTTTTGACAAAGATAAATCACGTTTTCAATGTTTTTGATTTTCAGTCTAGTTTTATTTTGATGTTTCATAAGTTGTAGAAAACTCGACAATTAAATAAACTTACAAACTATTGAACATTAAGTATATGATTCAAGTTGTCTGTGTAAGTTTGTGTTTCCTTTCCTACCACATAACCTACTTTGGTTATGTGAAGTTGACTCGATCTTGATAGGCTAGGTTAGATCGGTTGGTTAATGATACGGATGTTGATTATTTTTTGGTTGGTTAAGTTAGATTAGCTACGTAATGATGGACGTCTACATAATGATGCTTGTGTAGTGCACATAAAAGTACTGTACAAGCTATCCTGTAGTGTACATATGTTACGTTGTATGAACACTCCAATTTAATTATTGTGGCTTTTTACTGTTTGTTCACTCCATTTTTAATAGTATTTCTGTGACATTTTACTGTTTTGAGAACTTTTAAAGTTTATGTGAACTCAATTGATTTGTTTGTTGTCCCTTAAAATTTTATATTTAAATGCTTAGTAATGTTTTTTTTTTGGCCATGATATGAATCTGTGTACAATTTTTCCTTATGTTTTATATTTTTTTAATATGTCAGTCAACAGATTAACTAAAACTGAACTATAAATCAAATATAGAGATTCCTTTGTTACTATTACTATCAGTCAGGTGGCAGGACCAGTGAAGGGGGTTATAAGGTATTTTGGTTGATGCTGAGACTCTTGAGTTGTTTGTTGCTGGAAACTACTTCAATAGTACCTTGTCGCCCCGGAGTAATTTTTTTGAGACAGTGAAATTCAAGATGCGCTTGTTAGCTATAGATCAATAAACTACAGTACTCCAGCACCGCCTGATGTGTTTCTTGATGACGCGTTCTATTAAAGGTTCCCCTATAAAATAAAACCCACTCCCCATTTTCTATATGAAACTCTTCATCCCATCAAACAGAAGGAGAGTTAATTTCACTTATAATCCCGTGTGATCGATCAGAGGACGTAGGAAGCCCCACACCATGGCCGCAGTCTGCTCAAGGGGCCTTTGATGTAGAGTTAGGGGCCTCCTGGCATTGATTAACCATATAGAAAGTTCTTGGTGGCTCCATAAACCTGAGAGTTTCAAGTATTAACAATAGTAGTACTGCACCGTCAACAGAGAAGCGGTAACTGGAGCTCACAGTTTCTCCATTTTGGGTATTTTCTCTGTTCGGGATTTTTCAGTTTATTTAAGTGAAGGTGTGAATATGTCGAGAATAAATAAAGGAATCCTAATAAGTGGATCACAACTTCTCACAATACTGCACTACTAAGGCACGAAAAGTAAAATATCCTGTAGAATTATATTGTAAAAAGTACTTTCACGCAGCTCTATACATAATGTTGATATATTCATAGTTATAATATTCTTATTAGAACAAAAAAATATACCTCTCACGAAAAACATAATATACTTCAGGGAAAAATCATACACAAACTAAGTCAGAACAAGACAACACTGTAATAGATTAAACATGGGTTTAATTTCTTGACAAAATAAAAGGAACAGAAAGTTCATTATCCTTTATAAAGGTAAAGAAACTCTTTTGTAAGACGTCCATAGAAGAAGTTTCCTGAATTATTAATTTACAATTAATCTTTCTTGATTTTAAGTAGGCATGCCGGTTCACACTTAGCTGTTCAAAGGAGCGAATCTCATTTAAAAATGCTGATTTTCCATTCAATATGCATTTCTAACACACACACACACACACACACACACACACACACACACACACACACACACACACACACACTACTACTACTTTGCTGTCACTAGGAATCAGATGACGATGATCGAGCTATGATATTATATGAGTTATTAAGGATGTCACCTAGGTTGATGAGTTCTGAAGTGACTAAAGAGGCCGATACGGGACCGGTAGTGTCGATCACAGATGTTGCACACGTGGGGGGCTACATCTAGTGGGGGAAGGGCAGCGGCAGCGTCTTTCCGGCAGGGTCTTGTCTACCTCGTTATGCAGTCGGGCTAACTCGAAAGTATTGACACACACACACACACACACACACACACACACACACACACAGAAGACAAACACACGTACAAGCAAGGATATCTCTCCCCCTCTCTCTCCCACATCTCCCCACTCCTCCCCTCCCCTCCAGACGGCGGGAGTAATACATCTAATACATCAACGGTGAATTGTGGCCACTGGCGGGGGATGTAGGTAGAGGACGGGGAGGACAAGGAAAGGTGCAGGAGGGAGAGGAGGGGCGAGAGAGAAAAAGAGGAGGAGAAAAGGAAGAAGGGGAGAGGGACGAGAGGGAGGAAAATAATGGAGGGATAGGAAATAGAAGAAACTGAAAAGGCGAGGAGAGGAGAAAGAGGAAAGAGCAAGGGAGGGAAGGAAGGAGGAGTAAGGGGAAGAGGAAAAAGAACGACAGGAAAAATAGGAGGAGAGGAGGTAGAGAGGGATAAGGGAGTAAAGGGGAGGATATGAAAGAGGGAATAGATGGAGAGGAGATAGGAAAGGAGGAGGAGAGAGTGGATAGAGAAATGGAAGAAAGATGAAGAAGAGGTGAAGCCTAAGATAAGGTCTACTCTTTATGGATGGACAGGGGAGAGAGAGAGAGAGAGAGAGAGAGAGAGAGAGAGAGAGAGAGAGAGAGAGGAGGGTTAAAACTGGGAGGAGGAAAGAAAGGGGTAAGGGCAATATATTGTGTGACAGGACAGGTATTATTCTTCTCTTATTCTACTTCTCTCTCTCTCTCTCTCTCTCTCTCTCTCCACCAGCTCTCTTTCTCTTTTGTCTTCAGGTCCTCTCTCATCTGTCTGTCTGTCTCTATTTCTCTCATCTGTCTGTCTGTCTCTATCTCTCTTTTGTCTGTCTGTCTGTCTTTTTTTTTCTCTTACGCTTCTCTTTCGTTTTTGTTTCCTTTTCTCTTTTGTTTATCTTTTTCTCTTCCTCCTTTCCACAAGCAAACATTCCTTTACCGGATTTAAGAGTAGTCTATTTTATTCAGACTCTCCACATTCCAGTTTCCAGCTACTGTACACTCATATTGCTGTGCCAAGCTGTTGTGATTAGCTGCTGTACACTCATATTGCTGTGCCAAGCTGCTGTGATTCTACTGTACACTCATATTGCTGTGCCAAGCTGTTGTGATTAGCTACTGTACACTCATATTGCTGTGCCAAGCTGTTGTGATTAGCTACTGTACACTCATATTGCTGTGCCAAGCTGTTGTGATTAGCTACTGTACACTCATATTGCTGTGCCAAGCTGTTGTGATTAGCTACTGTACACTCATATTGCTGTGCCAAGCTGCTGTGATTAGCTACTTGTACACTCATATTGCTGTGCCAAGCTGTTGTGATTAGCTGCTGTACACTCATATTGCTGTGCTTGAAGCTGCTGTGATGCAAACTTAACACAGTGATTTTTACCATCCTTCTATACGTTATCTGTACGTGAAATTCTTTTGAATTTAGCCTAAAGTATCGTTCAGAACTTAAGGTTGGAGAAGTGAGTGAATATTTGATTGTGGCTGAGAGAAAAAACAGTTTTAAATAATGGATATAATAGTGATATACTGTCACGATATAAAAATGTTTACATATTCTCACTATACAGAATATGTATTTACTGTACAGTGTATTAGAACCTGTGAAAGACTAAGTTGTATAAGTATTTTAGTGAACTTAATCATGTGCCTTATTTTATTATTATTATTACTCACTCAGTAATTTCACATGAGTTTCTACCACCTTAACTATGTATAAGGAACTATATCGATCGTAAACATTTTTATTTTTGACAATTCTTCGTTGCTTTAATGTATATCAGACTCTGAGTATAGACGTTATTTTTGTATTACATTATTTCTTAGATGGCCTCAATACTGAACTACTGCTCGTGCTTCAATGTTAAGGCTTCATGGTCCACCACAAACCTTTCAGCTGAGACAGGTGCAGGAGAACATGTTGAACGCTGGCAATAGTTACACAGATTTTTATACTTAAAGGAAAATAATATCCTCTGCTTACCTATATAAAAGTTAGTTACTTATTCAAATGGAATGTTGTTAACGCTATAATGTTATTACTGCACTTCAACAACTCATATCTTTAACCACATAACAAGTTTAGTAATTACAATTGTCTGTCAACTTTTAAAAACAATAGAACTCTCGGCTGAAAAAGTCAAGTAGGAGACAAGTTATTTATTTGACATTCGGAGAAAACATGACTGGCTTCAAGTAAATATAGCCTGTACCTCCACCGGGTCATATGTGCAGTATAAATACTCTAGTTTTGACCATTGGCCTATGTGGGGTTTGGTGACTAACAAATACTGTATACATGAAGCCAACCAAGTTTGTCTCTGAATGTCAAATAAGGTGTAACTGTCATACGAGGTTGAGGAAAGATATTTATAAATACTGAATGACCTATATTGGTTTTTAAATGGAAAGAAAATCACAGTACCATAACACAGTTCCCACGAATAAAAAAATACGATAAGGTGAATCAAATGAGTCTCAAGATAAATTTAACCAGAAGTTCGTGTTCGAATCGTAACTAATATAGTTACCCCTAATTATCTTTTAACACTCAAAGAAAACGGAAATAAAACAAGACTTACCGGGGATCAGAGGCTAAAACATTCCTACTTTGACATCCCATCTGGGTATACGAGGATGCATCTAATAAACATTGAAACATAGTGTGTAATAATGACATCTTAAATTTAGTGGGTTAGATATATTCTTAATTGTTTACTATTAATATTATACTTATCGTCATTATTTTTTCTCCTTCCTTCCTCATCTAGGGCTTCAAGGACCCAGTCTACAGGAAGAGAAGGCAGATCTTCTATGACGTGGCTATGAACTATAAATTGTAAGTACAAAATAGTTATGTCTGTCTGTGTTATTTCCCTTATGGTGAGTGTGTAGTATGTGGTATGTGGTGTGGAGTACGTGGTAAATGTAGTATCTTGTAGGTATGTTGAGTGTGATGTGGGTGTGTGTGGAGTGTATTACGTGTGGATAGTGTGTTGAGTGTGTGGACTTATATGGAGTGGAAATGTTGTGTATGTGGAATGGACAAATTGTATATGTGGAATGGACATGATGTGTATGTGGAATGGACATATTATGTATGTGGAGTGGACATGTTGTGTATGTGGAGTGGACATGGTTTCGTTCACTCTTCCTTCTGTTGGGTTCTCGACTAATAAAACTGTTTACCATGGAACGTTTTTAAAGTCTGGTTATTCTCAAATATCAGTGAAGCAAAACCAACAAGTAAAATAACTTAAAATAAATAATATAAAATATTTACAATGCATACAAGAAACAATAGGAAGTTTGTTCAGTTCGAGAATTTAGTCCTTGACAAAACAACAGTGTTAAACCTACAATTAAATCAATTACAATACACAGTACTTAACCTAACTGGAGCAGGAACATTTATAACACAAGTGAAGACAGTTCACATAATACAAATAACAATGTACTCATCACTGTGGAGGCGAAGGAGGTGAGACCCACAGCCGGCATCCATACTGGCCACAATCTGACTGGCTGTTCTCGGGTGGTTAGGTTAGGTTAACCCAACACCAAACCTCGAATGAATGAGACGAAACATTAACAAAAGCTTTAACTCATCCAGTATGGTCAATAAGACACTCATAAGACAGTCCAGTGTGGTGACTCTTGGCACTCCTCATCATACGTCTATACTTAGCCAATAAATGGAGACATCTACCAGAAAACCTTATGACTTGCGGTTTTATCACAATGATGAATGGATACACAGATTCAGTACACAATACAATAGGAACAAATATAACATCTCACACAAATGACACGCGAGTAGAAGTTCATCATTCCCCATAACACAACATACAAATAACAGAATATACATATGAATTTAAGTTGCGACTCTCGTAACATATTTGTGTATGTTGACTGAACATATTGTGTGTGTGATGTGGGTATGTTGAGTATATTGAATGGACATGTGTGTAGAGAGGACATGTTGTATACTGTGAAGTGGAGATGTTGTGCCGCCTCGTGTATGTCTGTTGTCATGCATGTATTTACGTATACATAGTATTTATCACTGCCTATACGTGTGTAAATACAACATTACAAGAAAATACAGACGCTTGGTCTTATTGAGTGGCCTTCATGCCATGACAATGGCATAGGGATTTTTTTGTCCGTCGTCTTGCATCATCGTTCTCGTTATCATTGTCGTCGTCGTCGTCGTTATCATCTTTATTGTCGTCGTCGTCGTTATCATCTTTATTGTCGTCGTCGTCGTTATCATCTTTATTGTCGTCGTCGTCGTCGTTATCATCTTTATTGTCGTCGTCGTCGTCGTTATCATCTTTATTGTCGTCGTCCTCGTTATCATCTTTATTGTCGTCGTCGTCGTCGTTATCATCTTTATTGTCGTCGTCGTCGTCGTTATCATCTTTATTGTCGTCGTCGTTATCATCTTTATTGTCGTCGTCGTCGTCGTTATCATCTTTATTGTCGTCGTCGTCGTCGTTATCATCTTTATTGTCGTCGTCGTCGTCCTTGGTATCAATGCTCCGAGAATCATCACTTTTAAACAGTTCCTCCTTGTTGCAGCTTTTGCAGAGTGACTCTGTTATTCCCAGTCTCTTGAGTGTGCCCGCCTCCCCCCTCTCTCTCAGGCCACTTAGGTCATAATGGACTGTAAATTCTCCTTCTTTAGGAAAGACTATTTTTCCTGCAAATTCTTCACGACAGTAGTAGTTACGTGGAAATGGCTGGGTAAATTGATGGATTTTATTTTTACACTTGATTTTCGCGTCTACTCTTTTTTATACGTAAATTGTTGAAGTCACCAGTAAACAAGGTTTACACGTTGACACACACATGGTGAAATAATTCTTTTCTTTGTTCACTTTATGTTCTGTTTTCTCTGGTTATGTAATCCGATATCATAGGAAGGTAAAGTGTTTTCGAGGTTATCTAGGCCCCAAGACACTTCAAGGTGTAGCCATGAGGGGCACTTTGGACACAGTCTCTCTCAATACAACACACAACATGGACGTCAATCAGCTGAGCAGTTATATTCTTTCTACACTAAAGCAGTGGTCAGGTGAATGAAAGAGAAGAGGTGTTATAAATCTTGAGTCCTTTATATAAGCTGTCAAAAGATCTTGGCCTTGCTTACGCGCAACAACAAGAAATAAATATGTTAAAGGAAGCAAATATTTCAGTGTAGATGGAGTCTGGGTGAGTATTATGCTGGGAGAGCAGGAGCAACAAATACGGAACACACATAAGGAGTTGTGGAGGTGATATGAGTGTTGGAAAGAAAGTCGACCAGGTGGCTGGGAAGCAATAAAGGAATGAGAGGGAAATAATTGGTATTTAGGATGTACGAGTATAACCCAGATGTGGATGGTAATGGAAGAATGGGCTGGGGGGTGGAAGCAGAGTTTGTGTTTATGATGGTTGGGTAGTTACTGGGGATGGATGTGGCGTAGATATGTAACGGTGAGGTGTACTGTGACGTGACAAGGGTGAACTAGATGGGTATGTTAATATCATGTTAAATGAAACACCAAAACATGATAAAATTAATAAAGCAACATGTGTGTAAATTATCCAATAATACACATATAAAATAAACATGTGTAAAGACATAGCTTTAGAGCCTTGACTGTCTTTAGCTATAAGTAAGGAACAAAATTATGATTCTCATGAAAGCTCAGAATATAATGTAAATCATTTTGTTACCCCTTTTAAGATTTGAATTCTTATTGCAGTGTTTTACTATTTTATAATCGATGTTATTCTAATAGACCTTCTCTGGCTGTCATTCTCACTCCGCCCATTGTCTTAAAAATGATTTATTGACGAAATATTAACTCAGACAAATGTTCACCTATTAATTCCTATTCTCTTCTTCCTATATTAGTGGACACGAGATCCCCCGTGTGGAGTACACGCGAGGAAATAAAAACCTGGTATGTATGTTTATGTGTGTATACAGTATTCTTCTCTATACAGTATATTTGAGTCGTATATGTGTATTATGTATACATATACGTAGTTTTCAATGTATATGAGAACACTTTATGATAAGAATAAATTATTAATGATGCTCCAAATATTTACCCCAGATAACCTGTGTAACGCCTATAGCGGAATAGTCGTACAGGGTGTGAGGAGCAATAGTTACAAAACTCCTCAAGGAATTCTTCACTAGTACCTGAACCTTCATATATGAATTCCTAGATTATTATTATTGTTGTATTATTGTTATTATTATTTTTATTATTATTAAAGTTCCTTTTGTAGTATTAATATCAATGAAATTATTATATTATTTCCTTCCTCCTGTAACATAATTTCTGAGAATTTAAATTTTTGAAACAAATAATTCAATGCGACACCATTCAAAATCTTTCGCTCCAATTTCTGAATGATGTTTCAATAGGGTCTTCGACCGATTTAGGTGAGTTATCAGTTCGCCTGGCTGGAGGAATAGGATATAGTGTACGATCATCCCCTAGGCCTGCACCTCCCTACCAAATTTAAGCTCTGTCTTTAGAATTATCCATCCGCGGGTGGGGAGGTCGTGAACGGCCTTTGCGCGTGTGAGTGTGTGTGTATGGTGTTTGGAGAGAGAGAGAGAGAGATATTTGACAATTTAGTGCCAACTCACCCAGGGACAGGTCACAGGTGGGTGAGCTCTGTGTTCTAGATGTAATTAAATGAGAACAACGGTGCCAGCCGAGACCAAAGTCAGTCAAGTTGTCTACGAACACTAAAGTGCGGTATTCTGGTAGGCAATGTCAGTGATGGAGGTGGTGGTTACCCTGATATCTTAAAGGTCAAAAGAGGGACGAGAGGGAAATGAAAGCAGGAGGGATCATGAAGGAGGACCAGCCACCTGACCTTTTCTGTATTAAGACGCTGTAAAATGTAATGGGCAGTGAAGAAGCATTACGTCTGTGGTTTGAATATCTGTGCTAATACTAAAACACCTACACCAATGAGCTTCCCCCCACCACCCCTTCCAGTTACTATCAAATATCCATTTTCCCTCCCATCACTCATCCATCCCTTACCCACCCGCCACCTATCCACTTACCATTTCCACTTCCGTTGCCCATGTGGTCCCTGACACGTCCGCCTCGTGATAAAACAAAAATAAATAAATAAAAATATAATAAAATTGCAAAAGCCTATCCAGAAATTTGCTTCCTTGTGTAAACCATCACACTCATTCCTATATAATAATCCATTTATTCTTACCATCAATCCACATAGACAGAAAACAACACAAGTACTCTGTCCTTTCTTAAAGTTCCTTTGTTTCTGTCACACGTAGACTGTCAACTCTTGCCATTCCTCTGTCACCACCACTAAGACTCTCACCACAACAGGGGCACCATCTTCAAGGAGCTGTTCCGTCTATACCCGAGTCACGCCTGCAAGGAATACAACCGCAATTGGCCCGACCTGGTGAAGTACTGCGGCTATAGGTAAGAGACAGACAGACAGAGACAAAGGGTGGATAAAAAGAAGAAAGGAAAATGGGAAGAGTGATAAAAGGAGATAGAGGGGGTAACGGAGTAAGAGGAGATAGGAGGAGGATAGGGCAGACAGAGAGGCAGAGAAAGAATCAGATGAGACACACCGAAGAGAAAGACACAGGCAGACAGGTAGATAGAAACATAGGAGAGAAAGAGATATAGAGGTGAGAGACAGAGAAAGATAAAGGTAGAGGGAGAGAAAGAGAAAGATGGAAATATAGAGAGCGTTTGATTATCTCACTCTATATAAATCTTAAGCGTCAATGATTTCATATAACGTAAACCACAACAAATATATAGAATAAATAAGTGAATGAATAATAACAAAGGGATATAAACTAACTTTCATCCTGGAAGACGTAAGAATATAAATTTTTTTTTTCCCAGGGAGGACAACATTCCTCAGCTGGCAGACATCGACAAAATACCTGAAACGTGAGTCTATTAACCTCTACGTCCGTCCTGAACCTTTAATACTCTTTTCCGTGCAGCAAGATCCTGTCTCCTCATCCACCACTTGTCTGGTGTAGAAACTAAACCTTATGATCTGTGCTGTAAGAACCTGGTAGATGAAGCACCTCATTACAACATGACAACAGTAACAACTAGTTTGTATCGGCTAATTGGGCATTCAGTATAATAATAAGTCTTTGGTGTTATTTATAGTCACCCAGCCTAAACATTCCCTGGACTCGCGTTCTGTCCATAACCTCGCAACAGACTTTCACTAATACGAAATGTCATCCCTACTACAAGTCTTTTATCTTGTGTGATCATAAAGGTCTTTCCATCCCTGCAGTCTCATTATACCTTCCTGTCTCCCTCAGTATACAGTATAATCTCTCTTTTCTACCCTCGAACACCTGGTCTCCACACACTTCACTCCTTAAGTTTTCACCTCTCACTTGAAGGTACTCTTGAATACCCGCTAAGTGAATCATTCTCCACCACTATTTATTTTATCCTTTCATATAAGGACTAATTGATTCTCCTCGTGTTTTTCCCCCTACAGGCACGACAGGATTCTCGCTGCGTCCCGTGGCTGGGTACTTGTCTCCCAGGGACTTCCTAGCAGGACTCGCCTTCAGGGTCTTCCACTGTACGCAATACATCCGCCACTCCTCAGATCCATTTTACACGCCTGAACCGTGAGTATCCGTTCCTGACCTGTGATATCCAGCCCTGAACCGAAAATATCCACCGCTAGTATAACAGAAGAATTATACGGGATCCACCTGTTACTTTGGTCGCTGTCAATATTTTATAACAGATATTTATCAGTTTTAAAGATGGCAGTTAGGTATTTTTATAACATTAATCCCACTATATCCAGGTTTCTGAACAAGAGTACTGCCATAGTTTTCTAGTAACAGGTAGAACCCTGGACGCGGCTGATTTAATGTAGTTAACTAGGTTTGGGTCAAATATTTTTGCACATATTTATTTCTCTGAGAAGATATTACGGTCTCTTATGATCTATTAGATGCTGGTGTCTTCTGATTTGGAGTTGTGAAATCCACGAGAATGATGTTGATCATACATTTCTGAAAAGAGATGGTGACACTAAGGGGAAAAAATGTGTGTGTGTGTGTGTGTTTTGTGTGTGTGTGTGTGTGTGTGTGTGTTTGTGTGTGTGTGTTCCAAGTTTACAGAATACGGAAGAGACAGTTCCTACGTAGTGATACTGAATCTTTTTGTTACCAGTTGTCTACATCAAAATCAGAGAGAAGATGATGGAAATTAAACTAAAAGACAGAAAATACGAAAGTACTGAAATTTAGACATGTAACTCGGTTCTAGATTAGCAAAATTACAATGCTGTTGAGAGGAATTTAGAGACTTCATTTTCGTTCATATTTAACTTGGTGCAAACACAAGATTTATTTTCACAAGACCAAAATGTGTCACTGTACTGGTAGTTCAGATATTTGTGAATTTAGATATTTAATCAGAGTACCGTCTTCATATCTGAGGGTTACACCACAGTCCTCCAATCTAAAGGTTCTCGGCTGTTTTTACCAACCCTCAAGGTTTTGGTCTCTGGGGAACCACTATAATTTCATTCATCCATCTCAGTCTCTGCCTCCTCTGGCCTTCTACCCTAACTTGTCCATTAATATTTATTTGATATCCCTTCAACACACTTTATATAATATTATTATTATTTTTTTACAATTCTATGAAATTTTGATGGCACTACCAGCGACTTATCGTTCCCGATGTTCACTCTACTTTTGACCATCCTGAGTTAAAGGGGAACATTATCTAATTGGGTTGACTTATTAATTTTCAGAAATGTACAAGACTATGTATTATTAACATTTTACTCTAAACAGCTCCTTATCTTGACCGGACACAAGAGCCACTTTGCTGTTTTTTTTTTCCCTTACTTAAATATTTAAGTCACTTTCTACCAAGCATGTTCCTCCTCCTACAGGGACTGTTGTCACGAGCTGCTGGGTCACATGCCCATGTTAGCGTGTCCGTCTTTGCCTCAGTTCTCCCAAGAGATCGGTCTGGCGTCACTCGGGGCTAACGAAGAGGACTTGATGAAGATCGCTACAGTGAGTGCATCAGTGTCCATCATTATATCTTCTTATGGTTCTTAATTTTAACTTTGTGGGTGCTCTTGGGATTATAAAGTGGTTGTTGAGATGTTTACGTGATGACACTGTAGTTTGCGTTTTACAGTATCGTAAAGTTTGTTGAGAACAGCTTTAGTGGACTTGTCTATATCACTCTACAAGGTAGAAGTGCAGAAACTGGACCTTGGGAATATCCTCGTTGGGCTCAAAGTCATCTGCAGACGCCTTTGAGGTCCTCTGTGAATAACTGTTAAACTGCTTTGGATTCATCAGATTTTATTAGTTCGATTCTTGAGGTTTTGCGTCGCATTTCGCAAAATCTTGAGAGGGTGATCTTCTCAATGAGATAGTTTTTAAGAATATTTGAGTCTACCTGTGGTAGTGTTTTGGTTGGGACCAGTAATGTTTCCTGGTTTTTCCCACAAAGACTTGCTACATCTTATATTTCATAAGTAAGGGTGTATGTATTCCTGAGACACAAATAAAATTGATGACTAAATGACCATATTGTCAGTTCTCAATAGTTTCAGAGTTACAGCTCATGACAGGTTTGGTAGGAGTGTGATGAAGCCTGCTACTAGTGATGTTTCTTAACAATAATAATGCCATATGATTTGTACTGGTATTAACATTTAGAGCAAATGTTCAGAGTTCTGCCCCTCTTGCTCAATGCAGGCTTCAGCCCGTCGTACAAATGACTGACTGTTGCACTAGTTTCTTTGAACGAGTGCGACGTAACATCCATCATCACTACATATAACACCATCCATCATCACTACATATAACACCATCCATCATCACTACATATAACATCATCCATCATCACTACATATAACACCATCCATCATCACTACATATAACACCATCCATCATCACTACATATAACATCATCATCCATCATCACTACATATAACACCCTCCATCATCACTACATATAACAACATCCATCATCACTACATATACACCATCCATCATCACTACATATAACACCATCCATCATCACTACACATAACACCATCCATCATCACTACATATAACATCATCTATCATCACTACATATAACACCATCCATCATCACTACATATAACACCATCCATCATCACTACATATAACACATCCATCATCACTACATATAACATCATCTATCATCACTACATATAACACCATCCATCATCACTACATATAACCCATCCATCATCACTACATATAACACCATCCATCATCACTACATATAACATCATCATCCATCATCACTCATATAACACCATCCATCATCACTACATATAACACCATCCATCATCACTACATACACCATCCATCATCACTACATATAACACCATCCATCATCACTACATATAACACCATCCATCATCACTACATATAACACCATCCATCATCACTACATATAACATCATCATCCATCATTACTACATATAACACCATCCATCATCACTACATATAACATCATCATCCATCATTACTACATATAACACCATCCATCATCACTACATATAACACCATCCATCATCACTACATATAACACCATCCATCATCACTACATATAACACCATCCATCATCACTACATATAACATCATCATCCATCATTACTACATATAACACCATCCATCATCACTACATATAACATCATCATCCATCATTACTACATATAACCATCATCATCACTACATATAACACCATCCATCATCACTACATATAACACCATCCATCATCCTTCATATAACACCATCCATCATCACTACATATAACATCATCCATCATTACTACATATAACACCATCCATCATCACTACATATAACATCATCATCCATCATTACTACATATAACACCATCCATCATCACTACATATAACACCATCCATCATCACTACATATAACACCATCCATCATCACTACATATAACACCATCCATCATCACTACATATAACACCACCCATCATTACTACATATAACACCATCCATCATCACTACATATACCATCCATCATCACTACATATAACACCATCCATCATCACTACATATAACACCATCCATCATCACTACATATAACACCATCCATCATCACTACATATAACACCATCCATCATCTACATATAACACCATCCATCATCACTACAGATCGGTAAAGTAGTGTCCGAGATTCTCGTGCGGACACACACACAAACAGACATACTTCTTTGTTTTATATAGATAGATTATTATTATGAGACACTACATGAACTGGAATATTATGTGTTGCTAGATACAGTAATGAAAAACTTTAAATGATTATATGTTTTTATAGAATGGGCAACATTTTGAAACTCAAAGTCTAGATTGACATAAATTTCATTTCTGTTGAAATATTAAAACATAATAGTCTTAGCAAATAAAAGAATATAATAAACAAATCTTAATTGATGTAAGTTGTTTTTTAGTAAAATATTTAAGTATTTGAAATATATGTCATTATCATAATTCATTTTTATATAATATTAATTCTCCTCCACCTTTCCATTTTATACCCTTTTTTTATTCTTCTATGTTATCTTACCTATGTTATTTCCTCATCCTCATCTTCCTCTTCATAATCATTTCTCTCTATCCTTTCAGTATTTCTTTCCAATCATTCTTCTTCAAATTCACAATCTATTCCTACATCCGTTTTGTTTCCCCATAGGTCAACAGTTTCCCCTTTAAACCCTTTATAAAAACAATCATTATTTTCCTCTTTGTATTCTCTAAGAATTTTACTTATAGTTACAGCATACTTCTTACTTACAGTAGTGGTCTTATTTGCTGTGGTGCTGAACAAATATTATCCACAGACACATCTGAATAATATACACTTTTAAATAGGTCAAATATAATATTAAATTACCCTCATGAACTCTAATACAATTTAAACTAAATGAAATTAAAGCTTTCACAGGACAATTATTTTGTCTTTGAGTATTCACAAAAGTTTCTGATTCGAAATTTACCACATTCGATAATTTTCAATTCCTTTTACACATCGATATTACTTTTAGTGGTGGTGGTGGTGGTGGTGGTGATGGTGGTGGTGGTGTGGTGGTGGTGGTGGTGGTGGTGGATGGTGGTTTGATAATGGTGGTGGTGATGATGGAGGATTATTGATGGTGGTGGTGATGGTGGTGGTGGTGAGTGGTGGTGGTGGTGATGGTGGTGGTGATGGTGGTGGTGGTGGTGTTTGGTGGTGGTGATGGTGGAGATGGTGGTGGTGTGGTGGTGGTGGTGGAGATGGTGGTGGTGGTGGTGGTGGTGGTGGTGGTGATGGTGGTGGTGGTGTGGTGGTGGTGGTGGTGGTGATGGTGAGGTGGTGATGTGGTGTGGTGGTGGTGGTGGTGGTGGTGGTGGTGATGGTGGTATTGGTGGTGGTGGTGGTGGTGGTGGTGGTGATGGTGGTGGTGGTGGTGGTGGAGATGGTGGTGGTGGTGGTGGTGGTGATGGTGGTGGTGGTGGAGATGGTGGTGGTGGTGATGGAGATGGTGTGTGGTGGTGGTGGTGGTGATGGTGGTGGTGGTGGTGTGGTGGTGGTGGTGATGGTGGTGGTGGGATGGTGGTGATGGTGGTGGTGGTGGTGGTGGTGATGGTGGTGGTGGTGGAGATGGTGGTGGTGGTGGAGATGGTGGTGGTGGTGGTGGTGGTGGTGGTGGTGGAGATGGTGTGGTGGTGGTGGTGGTTTTCATAAAAGTATAACAGTGTACAGTACTCCCAAATTAATGCGACTCACTAGACATTCGTCTTTATATTGTGGGTCTCTGTTAGAGAGGATATCCTTACATGGGAGAGGATATTTTCTTTTTTCTATGGGGGTCTACGTACATTAAATCGCTCCACTTGGTGGGCTGAATTAAATTTTCAACGTGGAAGTCGTTTAATTCTTTAATTAACATATCAATTAACTTTATCTGTCTCATTTTATGAATATCATCATCGAATTCTATATTAGAAACTTTATTAACTACTTCTTGATAATTCCCACTCCAGAAAAAAGGACGACACTTTACTTCCAATAGATGAACGTTTAATTCTCTAAGAGAACTATCCACAATAATATATCTTTTCATCTTGTTTGCAGATCACATTTGTGGAATCCTAAGTTTCAAAAGAGGTTGAAAATTATTTGGTTCTCTATGAATACACCTGTTAGTGAACCGAGATAATATAGTGTCCATATTTACTTTATTTTTCAACTGGTTTTCTCGAACCGTCACCATAGGGTTCAGGTGTTGGGCTTCGTCGGGTAAAACACTACGAATTATTGTCGGGGGCAACGTCTGCCAGGACGGCCTCTATCATGCTCATTACTTCTTCTCGTTTATTATTTAATTCCATAGTACTAAAATAAATTGAGGGACTTGGAATCACTTCAACATTGTCATAATATACCGACGTATTTCTCGTTTGAGGTGATGTAAGGTTGATGGCGGCTGCTGCTCGATGATGACGAATGCGATGATCGTGGTGACGGTGGGCGGTATAAAAGTTGTTGGGAAAAGAATTGTTGTTGTCTTTTAGTAACTGGAAAAGTTATCACTCAAAAATTTTATGTTTGTGTTTCAGCGGTTGTTGTGTATTGAGGAGGATAATGAGCCTCTATTTCACCGACCGAGTTACTAACTGATTGTTCGGTTATTTGTTTAGTCTTAGTTTGTCTGTTCAACGTAATCTAAAAAAATTATTAACCCTGCACCTTGGAAAAAAATAGATACGAGTGTTGAAAATCCTCTGCTACTTACTCAACCGGAATAGATAGATTCTGAATAAAAGAAGAAACTCCAAAGAAAATGGAAACATTTCTTAACCATTGGTGAGTTAAGGTTGAGGCTGTACTGGATGCTTTGTAGGTCTCTCCAGTCCATCTGCGGGCCATATGCGTTCACTGAGTCCAACGTCAGTGAGGAGACAGGTGCAAGGTGACGTGGAGGTGTCGATGATGATATTGCCGGCGTGGAGGTCCATGTGGCCGTAACCAGCAGCATGAAACTCGTCGAGGGCAACGCAGGTTCCGTCGTAGGCCTTCTGGCGATGGTGGACGTCGTACTTAAAGCTGCTTAGAATTGATGAAAACAGCACGCCCCGGCAGTACTGCATGACGATGGCGTGGGGCTCGGTTATGGCGCCGTACAAGATAGGCGCCCCGCCGGCCAGCTCGTGTAGGACGCGGGCCTCCTTGGTATTGGTCTTGCCGGAATGGAGGATCTTCACTACCACGTCCGTCACGTCCCCATTTCGGTGAGCTGACCATGGTGGCTCATCCCGTACACACCAGAGCCAACATTTCTCGCAAGACGAAGGCAGTCCCAGATGAGCTGTGGCAGATCTCGTCCTCCAGTGGTGGAGTAGGAAGGGGAGAGAATAATCTTGCATGCCTTCTTTGGCACTTTGTCTAGGTGTTTCCGTTGTGTGGCATTTAGGGAGGAAGACCAGGTAGGGGAGGCATAGGTGAGTTTGGGAAGTATGAATGTTGAGCAAGCACTGAGGAGCTCGGGTGGGAAATCCGAGGGATTTGAGTCGGCGGAGGAGGTGGAGACGGAAACTGGAGAATTTGACAATTATACTAATCTGTTTTTCAATTTAGTTTGTTATCTATAGTGACGCCGAGGAGCTTAGTGGAGTCCACAACTTGGAGTTCACTTGCTTGTGTGTGTATAATTTTTTTTAGTATTAAGTGATGAGCTTCTGGTATACAACAACTCGGGATTTTTCTCTATGCTAATTATTATGTTGGTCTGAGAAAATGTTACAGTAAACTGCTACGATCTGCTGGGGAAAAAAATAGTCACCAACCACTTACTGTTCATAGTAATCTGAAAATCTGTTACAGTCTTAAACAGTCACTACTGCTCTCTATCACTCTGGTATTGTCTGTCGTTACATAAGTTTCACAGTCAATGTTTCTCTCTTCAATTATCTAATCATCTGTTATCTTGCAGCTGTACTTCTTCACTGTGGAGTTTGGGATGTGTAAGGAGGTAAGATGTCCTTCAGCTCGTGTTGTCAATGTGCATGTCTTAAATATCTAGATCTTCATTTGACGTCAGTATTTCAAATAAGATTTTCTTTTAGATTCCAAACAACCATAAAAGTGCACCTATTTTTTGTGAATTGATATTAAGCTTTAATTTGAAAAGAGAAATCATAAATATTGTTATTAGTGGAAGCATTATATAATGGGTTGATATTTCCGGCTGGTTTTGGAGGTTTATTTTGCCACTGATAAGGTATAAGTTAATCCCATGTTCCTCGGTAGTTAAACCAAATTAATCGGACTCTCTGACATTCTCACTATAATTCACATAACATTACTCGGTTTTAGTATTCAGTCTTGACTTTTTATCCTGATCTCTGCTTGTTGACCATCATGTAATATTGATAACAACAAGCACAATAAATTTACTTAGGTTCTCTTTGTCAAAAATCGGTCTTTGATTTAGATTTTTAGCGTAAATTAGCTGTAAATTATATTAACAGATTAATTACAAAAATATACTTAGATGTTCTCCTTTACCGTTATTTCAATTGTTTATTAAATGAGTTTCTGTGTTACCTTTACTAGTTTTTAATTTGTGCATTTAAACAGTTCTTGACTACGTGTGACTGCATTTCTTCCAAGTCACTCTGGCTGCTGTTAGTGTAGGTCATCGTAATCATCCTCTTGCCTCTTGGGAGTTTGTTATTTTCTCTTATGACTAAAATATGTCTTTTTAAAATAAATGGAACTTGCCAAGACCCGGTCGGTACTTAACAGGACTGTAACATATGTGTGACTTTCTCTTCCTTCTTTTATAGCTGTAAAGTATACTGTACTGTAATTATCTATACTAAATAAATGAATATATCTATTAATTCAATCAAGTAAGTTAACGATAATTTAAAAGTTTAAGAGACACAGACCTTCACTAATCTTTAATTGTTGGTCATATAGGTCACATATAGGTCAGAGTTGTTCAACACAGAGATGTATTAATGTCTCAAAAACTGAAACGTACGGGCGGCATCTCTTGCCTGACCTTCTATGGTCTTGACTGTGACTCATGACCCGCAGGATGGTAACCTGAAGGTGTACGGGGCGGGGCTGCTCTCAAGCATCGGGGAGCTGCGTCACTCCCTCTCCCCGGCAGCCAAGGTGGAGCCCTTCGACCCTGACCCCGTGTCTACTGTGCCCTGCCTCGTGACCACCTTCCAAAACCAGTACTTTTATACCGACACCTTCGAGGAGGCCAAGGAGAAGCTCAGGTAAGAACGAGGAAGTCAATAGAAGCTCAGGTAAGAACGAGGAAGCCAAGGGGAGTTCAGGTAAGAACGAGGAAGTCGAGAATGCTCAGGTAAGAACGAGGAAGCCAAGGAGAAGCTCAGGTAAGAACGAGGAAGCCAAGGGGAGTTCAGGTAAGAACGAGGGAATCAAGAAATGCTCAGGTAAGAACGAGGAAGTCGAGAGATGCTCAGGTAAGAACAGGGAAGTCAATAGAAGCTCAGGTAGAGAAGCCAATGTTGACTCTATCATCACTGTTATTTTTGTTTATATTGTCATTGTCATGAGCCCTTTCTTTACCTTCAGTCTCTTCCGTTTATTTTCTGACTTTTATTGTCCTTTATCTTTCAGGGCTTATGTGTCCAAGATCCAGCGTCCATTCGGGGTGCGGTACAACCCATACACGATGAGCGTTGAGATCCTCAGTAACGCGGAGAAGATCGCCGCATTAGTTTCCGAGCTGCGAGGAGACCTGTGTATCGTCAGGAACGCCCTGCAGAAGATCCACGTGAGTCTCATAGTGGACATAAGTGATACGTGTCATTGGTAAGAGTGAAAGTGTTCTTAAGTGTTAATAGTAAGGGGCGGTGTGAAACATCTGGTCCGTTGGGTGGAAAAAGGGCGTTCGGTTAAAGGTCCATGTGTCTTACACGTACAAGTCATCAGTTAAATAGAAGTGAGAAAGTGTACCTTGGTGTTCACTGTCAAAATATGATTGTGTGAAATCTCTAGTCCATTTGAGTGGAAGGCTGGTACATACAGGAGGGTCAAAGGTTCTATTGGACCGAAGTTGAAATCAGCCAAACTCGGGTGTTATCTGTTCGGTCTAGTTCGGTCTTAAATAACTTCCGATTGAATATGTTTCATTCCCTTTCGGTAAAGAGATGCGTCTGGTACTCCAAAGGTCTGTTCAGGAGATACCAGAGTCTGAGAATATACGCCGTACACGGCAAACCAGTGACAGGGTATAAGACATTCCATGAAGATAGAATTAGTGTTGATATATTAACAAGGTAGATAGTTGACATATAATTGGAATAATTGTATCATGGATGGTCCTTGGAACTAAGAATTTGTTAATTGTGATGGACTAGAGGCGACACACATGAGGGTGCACCATGAAGCTTACGAATCAAAGGGCGTCTGTCATGTAGGCTTTGCGTCACATATCACAGAAAAGTTGAGATAGGATAGGCAGTTATCCTACTTTAGGATGGATGTCTGTGAGTCAGTTGGGAATTTAGGACAAGCCGGGAATGATATGATGATAATAGTGGTACTGACTCTTACTGGATATAAATCACACATTGACTCAATGAGAATTTGAATCCGAGACGATTGACTGGTTGAACGATACTTTATCATCATCATTATTATTGTAAATTATATTGTTAACGTTTTTGTTACTATTATTATTAATATTATTACTATAATCTGCAGGAGAATGATGATGACGTTGACATCGAGAATATCACCAGCATATTGACATCTGCCCTGAAGACTGAAGACAGTACCAAGTCATAATTCATCCCTCTCTCTCTCTCTCTCTCCCATTTATTCATAATATTATCTAGTTAGTCATATGCAAAGTTTTGAAGAAGACATCGATAAGTTGGGGAGAAGTGTATTAGAGTTTATACATGTATGGATTACTCCTTCTGATTTAAATAATGGAATAAGAGGTAAATTATCCTGAGCTTCCTTAGCTATAGAAATACTGTCATATATACATAAGGCTGTCATAATACACCAGACACTGTCATATATACACATATCAAGTGTCATAATAACAGACACTGTCATATATACACAAGGCTGTCATAATACACCAGACACTGTCATATATACACAAGGCTGTCATAATACACCAAACACTGTCATATATACACAAGGCTGTCATAATACACCAGACACTGTCATATATACACAAGGCTGTCATAATACACCAGACACTGTCATATATACACAAGGCTGTCATAATACACCAGACACTGTCATATATACACAAGGCTGTCATAATACAGACACTGTCATATATACACAAGGCTGTCATAATACACCAGACACTGTCATATATACACAAGGCTGTCATAATACACCAGACACTGTCATATATACACCAGAGGTCATCGACTGGGCAGCCATTTTACTAGTTCGTCAAATGGGTTCCCAACCTAAACCAACTCGACCTAAAATAACCCAACCCTACCCGATCGATCCCAACGTAACTTAACCTAACCTAACTTAGCCTAACATACTGTATTAAGGTTAGCTAGATTACGTTAGGCAAGTTTAGGTTGGGTTAAAATAGTTTAAGTTAAGTACGTTTGGGTTGGTTTAGGAGATCATTTTACGAGGCAGATATATGAGAAAAAAATTCAGGATGTCCTAAAAGCAGGAAACTTTCAGCAGTTGTAGAGGATTATATTGGACTATATGGGGTAACTTTGAAGGTGGCCTAGTTTAGGAATGACCACCAAAATAGTGGTATGATATTTCATATATATTGCTTAAATTACGCGAGATATTAAAGTATTGTCAATGAAACTTTCTTCCTTTGTATAAAATGTGTAATCCTGGGAACTCAGTTATAAACTTGAAAATGTGAGTAAAAGTAAAAAAAAAGTCTTCACATAGCAATGGTTGCTTTTAGGTTACTGGGACATTGGCTGGCCAACCGTGGATGGGTAGAGGCACTTATAGCTCAAATTGCATCTGTTGGCACCGCGAACTCATTCATTAAGGCATCACATGTAGCGAAAACAAGACATATCCACCAGGTCACCCTCTGCAGTCTCCATATCTTGTTGTGAGAGACATACCAAAGTGCTAATACCACTGAACCATTAGATGGGTGGATTGAACGCAGTAGGAAAGAAAGTCCTCTGTTTTATTTCTGGATGACAGTGTCAGATCGAAAAAACTACTACTGGTATTTGTGAGGTCCATCAGACAAGGTAGCTTTGCCTTATATGCAAGGTAGAAGTCGGTTCATGTTCGGGACATGGCTAGTCAGTGGCAGACCCACCCACTTGTGGCAAGTCAATTTGCAAAGGGCAACTTCGTTGTAAGGAAGTCTCAGAGGGCATTCTCAGCAGTCTCTTATAGATCAAACCACGAACAGTATACAGAAATGCGCTTGTAAAGGGTGATGGAGGTGTAATAGGAATTACACAAAACACTAAAGCACTGCATCGTTGGATGGTTTGTGAGCCTGAAATTACCAGAATTGCACAAGAATTTGAAACTCAAAGCATTGCTGAAACACATCATACTGTACATCACGAACAGAGTGCAGCTACCCGGGCAAAGTTTACCAAACACGTCGTCAACAGTTTGACAGAACCTGTCAAGGAATTTGACCTCCTTTTCTTGAGGAGAGTCAGGATCTGGTAAAGCTGGACACCAGATAAATTAGGGATCCTGGTGTAGCCAGTGGTGTCCAAAGAGCTTACTAAATGGGAAGAGAGCAATATGAATCATTTGTAATTGACCGAATTGTGACAAGATCCAAGCCAATCTGTGACCCAATCCAGAAAAACAAGCTGTACTTCATTAGCAACACCCCTGCAAGACAAGTCTCGAGCAAATGCACGATTTAACAGTACTAAAGAGCGAGTGTTCATTGTTCCTTCGGCTTTTCATTTCCTGCCAGAGAATAGACAGTTATTTGGAAATTTATTTATTTTTTGTTTACGAGAACCACCCTTTCCCACCACCACTTTCAAATAATGGCGATCTGTGTACTGGCACCATATTCAGTCTTCTTGGAAGTTTGGTGTCTCATGTAACAAGTTAGGATTTACTGTAGAACCAGATGTTGATCTCATTGTACTGGATGGTGCAGCTGTTATCCATATGCTAAATACCATTTCCTGTCATACAGTTGGTAATTGCGGTGCCAAGGTATTTTGCCTATATGCAGACACAGATTCAGAACTGCCAACGTGTTGACATAATTTGGGATGAATATGTCCCCAATAGTTTGAAGGAAAGTTATCGAATGTCACGAAGGACAGATCTACGAACACGAGTTGAAGACCACTGTGCCATACCGGGGAACTGGCAGACCTTCTTAAGAGTCTATGATAAAGAAGAGATCTGTTTAGATTCCTTGCAAAGCAGATACTGGCACTTTACACGAATGAGCAGGTAATATACTGTAGACTATTGGGAAGGATGTCATCTGCTTGCAAAGGTAATCATGAGGAGGCCAAACGAAGGATCTTTTTACATGTTGCAGATGCAGTGCGTACTGGTCAGAAGAGAGTCTTAGTTTGAACAACTGACATTGATGTGGTGGTACTTGTAGTGTTTGCAGTGTATACATTGGATGTGGAAGAACTCTGGATTTTGTTTGGCACTGAAAAATATCTGCGATACATACCTGCTCATGAAATTGCCAGAAGTACTGTATTGAACAACAAATATCACGAATCCTCACCATTTTCCATGCTTAGCTACACTCAAGCGCTATACTGCGCTACTATATGTTCAAACAAGCCCCGTTAAATCCGTAAACGATGCACGCAAGTTACTGCTCACTCAAAAAGGCAGACAAATAGAGAACATTCCACCACCAAAGGTAGCTGAGTCAACACATACGACGCACAACGTACCAAGGTGCATTCATCTGGGGATAGATTCCAGAAGCCCATGTATCTCTTCCGCACCCAGTAGACTGAGGATGGACTAATGCAGAAAGCTGGAAGCCACTCTGGACAACCTTGCCTGAAACTAATGATGCCTGCAGAGAACTTATATCACCCGATTGCAAGAAGGGATCTAAATGCAGCTCTCATGTGTACAGTGCCCTGGAGAGTGTGACAATTGATCTCAGTGCTTTGGGAAGTGTGACTTGTTTCGTACTAATAGAGAATTATATTAACATGTATCATTAGATTTCAAGTGTTCTTTGTATGTTATGCTGATATTTTACACGATGTTTCAGCGCTTAACATATCACCACATATTGCTCTGTTAAAATTTCAGATAATTTGTATTTTTCTCTTAACATCTTTTTAAAGATCTATTGTAAGTGTTCAAACATTCTGACTGACATTCTTATCAAAATCACTTTTTAATAAAGGCTTCCAAGTTGCATATACTGTAAGCTTGAAGTTGTGAATCAAATATTTTGGGGGCCATTTTGGAAAATAGCCGTTACTCCTAAACTATGCTGTGGTCAAGGCTCCATATCAGAAACTGATCACAATATGGTCCTCTACAACTCTCTGAAAGTTTCATGCTTTTATAACATCCACTAAAATTGGCTGCCCAGGTCATGAACTGGGTAATTTCACATATACACCAGACACTGTCTTATATACACCAGATAAATACAGTATAGAACACATGTGTGTGTCGTTGCTCTGATGAGGTAGAGTAGAGTTATGTTCTTCGGCTCTTTGAAAACCATACTGAATCACAGTAGATAGTTACCTCGTTGAACTTTGTTATTCACTTAGCGGTTTCATATTGTTTGCCTATAACATTACCTCTGACAATAATGTAACTTTCTTTAAAATGGTAGTAACAAGTGATGCAAGTTACTTCACCTTCTCTAGGTACAATAATTATATTATAATCCTACAACATATTTTTTATTATTTTTTTTATTTATATAATTGTCTTGACTAATTCATTCTATGACGGAAGCTTGACTAATAATCACATTAGTGTATTAGACGGATCAACCTTTGTGGTGATTTAAGTCGTTAGGTCAACATGTACATAATTACAGGTGTCCAAGTAAGGGAGTGTGTCAGTGTAGTGATACTAGTTACTAACCTCACGTGTAGCCCAGGACAGGTAGTGATGTAAACAACCAAACAAGCACAGATGTTATGTAGTGCAAGTCTTTAAACAAGTGACTGTTAATGTATAGTGTCCGTCCCGTGAGGTCACAAGGAGGCTGGTGACCTCAAAGGAATGACTCTTGTTAATTATCTCACATTGAGGGTTGACCTTTCATGTTGGTCACTTGGACTCATAGTTGACCTTCGTGTGACTTACCTGTCATGAACGTTAATGTTGACCTTGATATGACGTTCACAGCAAAGTAAATGTAATTTGAGTAGGAATTGTTATGTACAATTTATCCCTTAACAACAGACTCCTAGACTTCAATAGAGATGGACCTTATTTGGACGTTTACCATGATGGATGATAAACACTGAAAGAGTTTTAACCAAATGTAGAAAACATCTTTTACATGAGTTCAGTGAAATTTGACTTTGAATTGAAGATAACCATTATATATACAGACACAGTATTTATGATACATGGTAGATATCAGCAGGTGTTTTCAGAGATAGACAGCCTTAGTATCTTTCTTTTGTGTCAATCTCTCAATTATTGATACTAAGGCCAGCACTGAGGGAACTGTCATGGCTGCTTTCTGTACACGACATTCTGTTTATGATGGCGAGTACTTGAGGAAATGGTGTTTTCTTAGTGTGTGTAAACGTTACGTGAAGAACAAGCGAGTATCAGTGTTTATATGTCTGTTGTGACGGTGACACACACCTGAGGACTGTTGTGACAGTAACACACACCTGAGGGACTGTTGTGACAGTGACACACACTTGAAGGACTGTTGTGACGGTGACACACACCTGGACGACTGTTGTGACAGTGACACACACCTGAAGGACTGTTGTGACAGTAACACACACCTGAAAGACTGTTGTGACGGTGACACACACCTGGACGACTGTTGTGACAGTGACACACACCTGACACTGTCATGACGGTGACACACTGG